TTACGGTTGAACCACTGATGGCAGATGGACTATTCTGACGACGTCTTTCATACTTTTCTGGGCCTTGACAGTGTTATTTAAGTGGCAGTCAATGGGACAGTCACAAGCCTCCCGGTTTTCATCCAAAATATCTTAAATTGTGTTCTGAAGACGAACTAAGCTTTTACGGGTTTGGAACGACATGGGGGTAAGTGATTAATGACAAAATTTTCATTTTGGGGTGGAGTAACCCTTTAAGTCCACGAGACCATAGGGTGTCCCATTCGTCATTTTAGCTTTCAGAAGGGTGCTCGCAAACGCCCCTTTGCGGCTGCTATACGCCCTCGATGCGCATTACGTCACGAAAGTGCTGACTCCGAGGAAGACCGCGAGGGTTTAGGGTTCCATTTGGGACAGGGACGTAGGCCTACCATTTGGTACAAGGCCTAAGTGCATCTTCCGGGTATTTGAAGTGCACTAACTGATTTATTCAGGAATTAAACTACACCTACACTTTATTGCTTAGAGATGCACAATGGTTAACAATTCTGACTTCATTCTAAACTTCTTTTTGTTGGCAACTAGGGGAGCGCAGGGCACAAACTAATGTAGGGTTAGTTGTAACACACATGGGGCCTGTACCATGAAGCTGGATTAGCTGGCTAGCCAGGTAAGTTTCAGTTTAGTTTGCACCAATCCTGGGTTTTAGGTACCATGAAAGTGGCTTGGCTTTTAGCGGCATTCATTGCCTTAGTAGCTTACACTCCACAGCTAACCTGCTCTGGGGCAGGTTATGTTCTGGTTTAGAGATCTCAAAGTGAAATTTGACCAATCAGCTTCAAGCAAAGTGACTCATGTCTGACACAATAAAGCCACTCCCCCAGTTTCTCTTACTCCAAATTAAAGGACGATACATAGTAAAACATTTTTAAAGATAAAATTGTCTGAATTTAGAGATGATGATTTTTTTATAATTATTTTATGATTTATATAATTATTATACCCTTAATCCATTACACAAGCTAGCTTAGTTTAATAGTAATTATTAAGCTTTTATTTTAAATTAATATAAACATTTAGATAATATGCAATATAAATACGTTTTAGAAACTATAGCTTTAAACATGATTACATATGAACTTAGATTTTTAAGTTTTTTTTATACCTATAAATATGATCAACTCTATGAACTAACTTTACAACTTTTACTTGCACTTATAAGGCAAGATGTTTTCTTTAAGTTTTCCTCTTTCGTGGATAGATCGTTTCATCTTGTAAATGTTTAAATTCTTCATATTGTTCAATATTTTAATCTTTAGTAGTGAATCGCACTGACTTTCTCTCAAGAAGTGCATCACAGTTTCAAGGCATCTGATTGGCTGTTCATTACTGATGTCACTCTTTCATGTGCACGTGCTCCATTAACTCAGGAATAGAGAAAGTTGATGATCATCTTCATGGTACCAACAAAACCGGATTGGACTGGCTTGGTTTTTGTCAACTCAAAACTAATCCTGTAACCCCG